GTACGCAGGCCTCTCACTGCTGTGGCCTCTCCCGTTGCGGAGCACAGGCTCCGGACGCACAGGCTCAGCAGCCATGGCTCACGGGCCCAGCCTCTCCGTGGCATGTGGGATCTTCCCAGACTGGGGCACGAACCCATGTCCCCTGCATCGGCAGGCGGACTCTCAACCACTGCGCCACCAGGGAAGCCCAATGCTGTAAATATTAATAGCCCAGGCTGTGGAGTTAGACTCCCTGGGTTCAAACCACTTCAGCTTGGAAATTTGGACTGGTAAAGAGCCTCTCTGGACTTTAGTTTCCTCACCTGCAAAATAGAGGTGTTAGTACCTACCTCAGAGTTGTTGTGAGGATTAACTGGGAAAACTTGGAAAGAATCTAGAATAGTGCAGCTCTAACTATTAGCTACGCTGATATAATAAATTGGTTAGGTTGGCTGGAACAGACTTTCTGAAGCCACATAGTGAGAGGTAAGGATGGAAAGGTTAGTGAGAACCAGGCCCTGCTAGGCCTTGAATCCTGTGGGGTTTGGACTTTATTTAGAAGGAAAAATGTAGTCCCTGATGAGTTTGAAAAGTTGTGTTACCCAAATGTTATAATACTGGGATGTTTAATCATCCATAACTTCATCCCAAAACATGTGTGTAGTCTTTTGGTTCCCCTTCTGTATTCAGACATAGTTTTTACAGCTGAAAGCGTAGCATTAATAGAATTTTCTGCTATTCTTTTTTTCTTCTGCTATATATTAAGCATTTCCCCAGGTTACTGCATAGTCCTTGTAATATGTTTAAAAGGCTTCAGAGTATGCCCTAGAGTGGTTGTTTCAGCTGTCCGAACATTTTTGAATAGTGGAATATCATGATTAGGGCTAAAATTCAGGAAGATTAATTGGCCAGCAAAGTTTAAGGTGGGTGGGGGCAGGGAGAAGCTCTGAAGGCAGACAGCCTAATGTTTATTGCGTGTTCATTAGCTAACAAGGCTAAACACTCTCATCCCATTTAATCCTCTTACCTCTTTGTGGAGGGTGGTACTTATCTCTGTTTTCTAGATGATATTGAGGCACAGGGAGGTTAAGTAACTTGCCCAAAGGCACAGAGCAAATTAGCTTAATTTCACATTCGGTCACTTGACTTTAAAGCTTGTTCTTTTAACCATTTTACTACACTGCCATGCAGGTTGGTGAACAGAGTGCAAACGAAGGGGGACGAGGAGGACCTGGGTTAAGCTAGAAGCTGCGGTAATGGATTAGAAGGGAGAAAGAAATGTGAGAGATTTTATGCTCTTAACTCGACTTGGCAGTTGATTGACTGCATAACCAGGAAGGTGACAAGGATAATGTAGTGAAAGGACAGAGGTTTTGAACTCAGCCTTAACCCTTGGTAACTGTGTGATCCTCCTTTTCCTTATCCGTAAAGCCAGATAACATCCCACGCAGGGTTCCTTGCAGATGAAATGAGCTAATGTTTGCAGACACTCTGCAAGTGTGAGCGCCCTTCCCCAGTAGCAGTTATTTTTTTCTGTGGGAGAGCAGATCCATCTCTGGTTGCTTTTTTGAAGGAAGCAGTGCTTCCTCCCCTGGTGGCAATCCCTGAATTCTCCCCCCACTCCTCTGCTAGTGTGAACATCATTCCCGCAGTGAGAGGCCTGCCTCAGGCGTGGAGCGGGGCAGGAAGGGGAGAGCTCCTTCCACTTCCACCATGTTGCAACTACTGCTGAGTCCTGGTTGGTGTAGGAAAACCGAAGGTGATTCCTTCTTACGTTACTGTAACCAGGTGCTGCAGAGGGGCAGGTGGGGAGGCATCCAGAGCCAGACTGTGAGTTTGTACTTCAGCATCAGCCCCTTCAAGCCTGTGGCCTCGAGTAAGTTACTTACCTTCTCTGAGCCTCATCCACTTCTCTATTCAGTGGGGATCTTGCAGAATTGTCCTGAGGTGGGAAATAACAAATGCCCGAGACACAGTAGCTACACAGTAGATGGTAGCTGGTATTATTATCAAGGACCCTGGGAGGAAGAAAAAGATTTACAGGAAAAGGGAGTTCAGCTCTGTAGCTATTAAATTTGACAAACAGCAGTGGAGAAGTGGTGAAGCCGGTCAGAAATGCAAGGCTGGCCTGGCCGCAAGCCTGGGTAGGGTGTGGGGAGGGCCGCTTGGTCGTCCCCCACCCAGCCGTGCTTGTGGGTAAGCGTTTGATTGCTTTCAGTTTAGAGAAAGTGATAGAACAGGTAAGCTTACTCAGGGAAGCGGTGGAACTAAGAATAGACCTGGACAATTGCTTGCATCTAGCATACTGGTTTTCTTTTCCTTTTTTAACCGAAACTCACCCTCAAACATATAAAATGGAAATTAAAAGTTTCTTGAAACGATCCTTACCTTTGCTGTATGCACTAGACTAATGATTATTTCATTATATTTTCATGAAAAAGAAATGGTGCTTGTGACCTACTGAGTTAATGTCATGACCATTAGTAGGATCAATTTGAAAAATAAAAATATTCTAGGTAATTGAACCAACTAGACGTCTCGAAGTATTTTAAGGCAACCGTAACAGATGTTATGGAGAAATAGAAGAGAATACAGTCAGAAACAGCCTGTGAATTTGGCCACCGGGAGCTCCTGTGTACTTTGAGAGGGTGATTTCCATAGTCGGCTGGAGGCCAGGTTACAGAGGGCCAGGTGGTACTAGGCAGCATGTATTAAGTATTTGCTGCTTGCCTTTGTGTCATTAAATCCCCCAAACAAGCTTAGGAGGGAGATGCCGTCATTATCCTCCGCCCCCATTATAGGTGAGGAAAGTGATTTTCCACTTCTCCAAGGCCACACAGCCATAGGGCTGGGACCTGGAGCCGAGCCCAGGTCCCTGTGACAGTGCAGCCCATGCTCCTGCCTACAGGTCGCCAGCAGCTCTTTCAGAGCAAAATGAGGAAGAAGTGGGTCAGCTGAGAGGGTGGCAGAGCTGAGGAAGAGGCTGGCCCCATGCTGCTAGGGCCTTGGAGATCACCTAGTTCTGCTTTTCCTCGGGCCTCGAGGATTATGGAGTCTTGTCCAAGGCCACACAGGTTAGTTAGGTGGAGCTGAAGTCAGATCCTAGGTCTGATACAAATATGGATCACCTTCAAACACTGCTTCAGAATTCTTTCATTCTCATCTTTTATTAAAAATATGTTTACTGCAGTACATTATTGTTGGTGTCTTAAGCCTTGGCCCTTCAATGATTTGTCAAGAGGCCCAAGTAGTATATAGGGGCTTTTTGTTTCATTTTAGGTTGGGTTTTTTCGTGTGATTTTTTTCTTTTTTTTGATAACAGCTTTATTGAGATATAATTCACATGCCATATAGTTCACATTTAAAGTGTACATTTCAGTGGTTTTTAGAATATTCAAAGAGTTGTGCAGCCATCACCACAGTCGATTTTAGAACATTTGCATCACCCCAAAAAGAAACTCCGTAGTCTCAGTCACCCCTCCCTGAGTTCCTCCCAGCCCTCCAGCCAGCCCTAGGCAACCTCTAATCTACTTTCTGTCTCCATAGATTTGTCTGCTCTGGACATTTCATATAAGTAGAATCATACAATGTGTATGTAGTCTTTTGTGTCTGGCTCCTTTCACTTACATAATGTTGTCAAGGATCATCCATGTGATAACATCGAGCAGTACTGCACTTCCTTTTTTTTTTTTGGCTGCGTTAGGTGTTTGTTGCTGCGCGTGGGCTTTCTCTAGTTGTGGCGAGCGGGGGCTACTCTTCATTGCAGTGTGCGGACTTCTCATTGCGGTGGCTTCTCTTGTTGCAGAGCACGGGCTCTAGGCGCAAGGGCTTCAGTAGTTGTGGCTTGTGGGCTCTAGGGTGCAGGCTCAGTAGTTGTGGCGTAGGGGCTTAGTTGTTCCACGGCATGAGGGATCTTCCTGGACCAGGGCTCGAACCCGTGTCCCCTGCATTGGCAGGCGGGTTCTTAACCACTGCGCCACCAGGGAAGTCCCTGCATTTCTTTTTGCTGCTGGGAGTAGCCTTTTCTCCAATGAACACAGGTTCTTTCACGTGGTTTTAATTCATTTATCTTCTATTTATTGGTTGGCATTCTACATTAGCAATTAACTCACTTGTTTATATGGGTCTGGATTCAGTGGTTCGTATTTTATTTGGGAGTTATAAATCATTCTGTAATTATTTTGATTTTCAAATTATTCCGGATTAGGCCCATGAGCTCTGTTTCATGTTGGCTTCTGTGTCATTTTGACACATCCCATAATTCTCCGAGCACTTTCTCACTTTCTGATACAAGAAGATATTCCAGACTCATCTTCTGTTTTCTTTGCTGGAATTAGCCTTTTCTCTGCGGAATCCTGGTTCTTTTAAATATTATTATCTATCTGTCTATCAAAAATCATAAGTTCCTTCTGCTGCCTCCAGTGCCAGCCCAATACCTCAGGTGCATTCTTCCCCCTTCTGTATTTGTAGCTCCCTTCCCCAAACGGAAGAACCTGGTTCTCATTAGCCTCAATACAGTTACTCCTTTGATCAAGCCTAGAATTCACAGATTGTGGTTCAGAATTGCTAGCTTACACCACTGCAACAACCAAACCTACTACCTAGAATTGAATATTTGTTTATGGTTCTTATTTTTTAGGTGGAATTGATATACATGAAATGCAGATTTTCAGTATTCAGTGAAAATTCATGAGTTTTGACAAATGGATACATCTGTTAAGTTATCCACACCCCTCTGAAAATACAGAGCATTCCCATCACCCCAGAAAGTACCCTTGTGTCCCTTCTCAGTCAGTCCCACCTTGTAACCCTCTCCCTGAGAGGCAGCCGCTGTTCTCACTTGTGTCGTCCTGGATTAATTTTACCTGTTCTTGAATTTCAAATAAATGAATTGTATAACGTGTCTGATTTTTGTGCCCGGCTCTGTCACTCAATATAGTATTTTTGAGATTGGTTGCATGTATCAGTATTTGTTTTTCTTCATCGCTGTGTAGTATTTAATTGTATGACCAGACCCGAATGTGGCCGTTCTTATAGTCTCCCATATTGGGTAGATTCTTTGAGGGTGAAAAAACTTTAGAAACCCATCACATGGGGTTCTCTGTGACTGGTGACCTGGAGTGATGAGTGCTGCCTGAAATTTAGACTTTGCTTGAAAGTCAAGCGGAGGAGGGAATCCTCTGGGTTTACTTCTTTCTGTTATAATTTAGATCATAAACCTGCACCTGACATCATACGCAGATGTTCTTGCCTTTGCCAGTTGAAATGCACACTTTGTCTGACACTTTCTTTCCCCCGTCCTTATAGAAAGATGACGACATAGAAGAAGGAGATCTCCCAGAGCACAAAAGACCCTCTGCACCTATAGACTTCTCACGGATAGACCCGGGCAAGCCTGAGAGCATATTGAAGATGACAAAGAAGGGCAAGACTCTCATGATGTTTGTCACTGTATCAGGAAGCCCCACGGAGAAGGAGACGGAGGAAATCACGAGCCTCTGGCAGGGCAGTCTTTTCAACGCCAACTACGACGTCCAGAGGTAAAGGAGCAACAGCCTTGTCGAGAAAATGGGGGCTGTGCTGGAGCTTTTTCTGTGTCTGTGTAATGGCATATCCTTCCTGGCAGTACTTATAAGGGCTCTGGACCTTTCCTATCTAGTCTGTCTTCTTTTACATTTATTTATTTACCTTTTCTTTTGTCTTTGAAGAAGAGCATTCATTTTTGGTCAAAGCCAGTAAATTGATTTATTTGTTCGTTTTCATATCTCATTTGATCCTAAAGCTATTTATCTTTGTTTCTTTAACTTTTCTTTTATCTGAGTAAGAAGCTGTATAGCTTAGCCTCTGTGGGGGGCAAATTAGTTACAGTTTGACAGTAGTGTGCCTCTTCCTTTAGAAGTCTCTGGTCCTCAGAGAATGCTTTTCTGTGTAGCTATGTTTACACATAAGCTTGGAGCAGACTGTTACTTTAAAGTGAAGGAGCCCAGTTGTCAGAGGTCAATATACTCCTAAGATGCAATTTTAAGGAATTTCCTTTTTCTTCCCCAAAAACAGTTCTGAAATTTAGGGTCTTCAAATATCTTAGTTTGGGAAATGTAAAAAGAATGAAGGAGTACTCAGAGAGTGTCTAGGATGGCAGAATGCTTTTTTTGTTTGTTTTTTTTGTGATTTTTGCGGTACGTGGGCCTCTCACTGTTATGGCCTCTCCCGTTGCGGAGCACAGGCTCCGGACGCGCAGGTCCAGCGGCCATGGCTCACGGGCCCAGCCGCTCCGCGGCATGTGGGATCTTCCCGGACCGGGGCACGAACCCGTGTCCCCTGCATCGGCAGGTGGACTCTCAACCACTGGGCCACCAGGGAATCCCGGCAGAATGCTTTTGTTAGCTTAAGTAGACACTTAGGGGAACAAATCAGTGCTGTGGTGGTTACTGGTCCAGAGCTCTCACCGATCTCTGAAGTGGTGGGGCGTTACAAACGGAAGGGTGGTGTCGTAGGTGTAACCCCTCAGGAACAGAAGGATTGTGCCCACTGGCCACACTAGTGGTCCATCCATCCACCCAGGCTCCATTCTGTTCCTCCCTGCTCCTTGGGGCCTGGTGAGTGTGGATGCACTTAGATGCTTGCTTTAACTTCCAGGGTTAGGATTTCTGTCCAGTAGCCGAGCATCCTCCTGAGCCCTTCATGGGCCTCTTATGACCTGGTCTAAACTGGTGTTTTTCAGCCCTTATCAGCAGAGGCCTTCTGTCGAATGGAAACTTAGCTGGGCCCTTCAGAATGTAAAACGGACCCAAATGGCAGCCTCCCCGTTGCTGCCCCGGCAGAGGCCCTGAGCCCCATCTGCAGCCTCCCAGGGCTTCTTCCTAATCCCGCCCCCCACGTGAGCAGCCACTTCAACATCACACCCCCTCCCCGCAGGTTCGCCTCTGTTTTGATCTGAGCCGAGGTATTAAATAGTTCAGCCAGCTAGTATTTTCAAACAGTGACTGTCACACCTTCGAAAATAGAATGTCTGGTTCTGTATTCATGTAGAATTTGAAAAAAGATTTCTTGGCTAAGTGCCACAGGGCCTCTCTGACCCATTAGCCCTGTACTAGCGGTGAGCTGACTGTGGTCCCGTCTCTCTGTCAAGGTTCATCGTGGGGTCAGACCGTGCCATCTTCATGCTGCGTGACGGCAGCTACGCCTGGGAGATCAAGGACTTCTTGGTCAGTCAAGACAGGTGTGCCGATGTAACTCTGGAGGGACAGGTGTACCCTGGCAAAGGAAGAGGAAGCAAAGAGAAAAATAAAACCAAGCAAGAGAAAGGCAAAAAGAAGGAGGGGGGAGAGCCGAAACCTCGGGCTTCGAAGGAAGGCAATCGAGCTGGGAGTAAAAGGGAAGAGCTATAGCGGGGCAGCTGCGGGCTCTGCAGAGGAGCGCGGGGAGCTCAGCCAGGGCGTGTGGGCTGGGGGTGGGCGTGGTTAACCACACAGCCATGAGTTCTCTGCTGGCAAAGGTTTGCCACATGACCAGTTTCTGGTCAGTGTAAGAATTACTGTTTAAAAGGCTTCAAGTCAGAAGACAGAGGTTTTGTAATTAACATGGGACACTGACAAATTCACGTTTACTATAAAATCACTTTAAATGGAAAGCTGGCGGTGTTGCTTTTTCCCATAAATGTGGGGAGTCTCTGGCCGGACTGTGGCACCACTCCCTTCGCTGCACCTGCTCTCATCCGGCAGCCTGCTGTATCCATGCTTTTTATTTCTGTTAACTGAAAGGATACCAGGTTCTCATCGGACAAACTTAAGACTCCTGACTTAATTGAATCGGGCTCTCCATGCCACAGACATCACTTCATTACTGTGAGATTAGAAGCGCTCCACAGGAGCACTGCACGTATATAAATATACAATCAGGACACCAGGATGCGTAAATCCCAAATCTGTGCAGAAAATGCAGAGAACAGAAAATAATGCAACTTGGAAATCCTAAGTATTCACTTTGAGTTTCTTGGACTTGAATCCCTCTCGTCAGTTATAGAGAACTCTTGGTATCTGTCAGGTTTTATGTAGTCTGTAAGTCCAGGGGTTCTGTCAGAATAGAACTTTATTTAGGAAAGAGTAATGCCGGTGTTGAGAGTTGTGTGTTCCATTTAATGTGATGATTTTCAAGGGTGTAAATTGGGCATGAGCAGAGTTCTTTGCAGAGCATAGCAGAAGACTCAATAACCTCATTCACTTCTAAACATTTTTCTTTGATAAAGTGCCTAAAATTGTGGTGTTTTTGTATGGTACTAATATGATGTGCTACCTGTTACTGTCTGATGTTGCTATCATACATCAGAGCCTACTCTAAGAGTTACAGAATTTATACACAGGTGTCATTTTTAAGAACTAAAATTATTTGTTCAAAAAGGCTTCCATTGTGATTTTAACAAATTAAAAACAGCACGCACACGGTTAGAAAACATCATCGTTAAAGAATGGTACAAAGCAAAAAGCCTTGGCCTCCCCTGCTGCCACTGCCTTGTCCCAGTGGAAGCTACTGTTAATTTGTTTTCAAAAAAAAAAGAGAAAGGTACACGTACTGGTTTACAGTGATATGTATTTGTTTGGGCCTTACAGCCTCTATTTCCCCTTCTTTTGGTAACTATTCAGATCTCCCCACGGTGATCCACACCCTCTTCGTTTTCTGTTCCGTGCTGTAGGGGGATGTTTGCCCTGCAGGCCCCCCACTCCAGGGAGGAATTAGTCCCAGGGTGAGTTTGCTTGAGCCACCTCGGGAAGAGGCGTTCTGTGTTTCTCATACAATCTGAACCCAGGGAAGTGAGGCTGGAGCTGCTGCCACCCTCTTGCCCCCTCCAGGGGAGGGCTGTCTGAGGATGAAGTCGGCAGTGGGGAGAAGCAGGGAGAGGGCCGAGTCCTGGTGGTATCGCCTAAGCCCCTGCATCCAGCCTCGTCTGAAACCAGCCCTGTCCCTGGGTTTTTTCAGTTTTTACTTGGGCGATTTGTTGGGTTTCTGTCATCTGTAGCCGCGCTGGCCTCGTATACAGGGCAGCCGTCCTGACTGGATGCTTGTCTTCATTAAACAGAAGGGCGCACACCCTCCACCCTGCCCAGGACCTTGTGTTTCCACTTAGCTGGCTCTCCGTGTCACAGTGTACACGTCTGTCTCATTGCTTCCTATGGGATATGCAGCCACATCAGCCTGTATTGACTAAGCTTCTGTTACATGCTGGGCACCACTAGATGCCAGCAACAGTGTGGATACAGCCCCTGCCATCGTGAAACAGTGATTTGGTGGAGGAAAGACAAATACTAATCCTATACAAAGTGAAATGGCAACCGTTGAAATAGGAAAGAACGATGCCAAGAAGTGGAGGAATCTTGGGATAGTCAGAGGGGACCTCTCTGAGGCAGGAGGAGAGAATAACCAGGCAGAGGAAACAGTCCATGCAAAGTCCCTGTGGTTAGACGGAACAGAGGAGGGACCGCGGGAAGGCCAGTGAAGAGGCTGGGGCACAGCACAGGACCAGGCTGGACAGGTGAGTTGTGGAGGTTTTATGGGGGTCGAGAGCTTATATAAGTCTCTGGGATCTCTTAAAGAAACAGTACACCTTTATGAATAAGAATTATGAAAGTGAAGATTTATTTGGAAGATTCCTATGTAAGAGGGGCCCATTCACTTAGAAAATCCACCTCTGCAAGCCAGCTGTTAAGGTACAGAACTACCTTACCAGGCGATAAAGCTAATGCCTGCTGTCCTGACTCCTGTCTCCCTGGCTATCCTCCCCCCCCCCATTCCCCCAGGAAGCCCTAGACCTTGTACGTTCCAGTAATGAGGATGAAAGCTGGAACTGTAGCATCTGTGTGGGGTGCACAGGGTCTGGTAGAGATTCTGGAGGACTGAAGGATTTTAGCTGTGGGGTGGATTCAAGTGGTAATCTGATTTGCACTGGCTACACCAGAGAATTGATTGGAAGCGGGCAGTGGTTGGTGTGAGGGGCAAGTTGGGAGGGTCTTTCAGTAGTTCAGGCCTTGCTTGAAGGTGGCGCAGGATGAGCTGGGTGGTGGTGAGGTCTGACCCACGGTTCCCCTGCACAGTCCCTGCTGATGCACGTTGAGTTTTCAGGGTCTCACTAGTAGGTACAGTGCTGCACTGGACATTTTAACAGACATTACCAACTATTTTGGTAAACTTGTGTTTATATCTGAGGGGCAAATTCCTAGCAGTGGAATTGCTAGAAGAAACAAATTTTAACCTTCCCATGTAGACTGCCAAATGACCCTCCAATGTGGTTTTGTTAACTTAGCTTTGCTAACAGTAGACCTCAAATCCTGGCCAGCACTGGGCATTACACTTGCCAATTTAATAGACGTGAAAACCACATCTTCATTGGCTACCCTGAAGCCCCCCTAGTGGAGAGGCCACATATAGGAGCCACAGAGAGAGAGAGAGATGCTCAGAGAGCCCCGCCTGTTCCAGCCCCAGCTAGGAGTCATCCCAGCCCAGGCGCAGACAGGTGAGCAAGTGAGCCTTCAAATGCTTCCAGCCTTCAAGACGTCCCAGCCATGCAGGAAGCAGAAGAGCCACGCCCAATCTGCAGATTCATGAACAAGAGAAATGTCATGTTTAAGGGAGGGGTGGGGGGTATATAATACATATACACATGCACATATATAAATTCATTCTTACTTTAAAAATTTTTTTATTTTTTGTCCGCGCTGCGCAGCATGTGGGATCTTAGTTCCCCGACCAGGGATCGAACCCATGCCCCCTGCACTGGGAGCATGGAGTCTTAACCACTGGACCACCAGGGTTTTTGCTTTTTCATGTTTGTTTTCATGCCTCTTGATTTAATACATTCACATGACATCTTTGACTATAAACTATGAAACATGAGAACTTAATAATTAGACATCCTTCCACCCCCCTAGTTTTTGATAGTTTAGGTTGTGGTTTTCAGTTCTTGTTTCCTTTATAATGTTAAACCTCTTTCTTTTTATTTATTTTTCTTTTTGTGGTACGCGGGCCTCTCACCGTTGTGGCCTCTCCCGTTGCGGAGCACAGGCTCCGGACGCGCAGGCTCAGCGGCATGGCTCACGGGCCCAGCCGCTCTGCGGCATGTGGGATCTTCCCGGACCGGGGCATGAACCCGTGTCCCCTGCGTCGGCAGGCGGACTCTCAACCACTGCGCCACCAGGGAAGCCCCTGAAATGAGTTTTTTTAAATCTCAATCTGTTTTTATTGAGCTGTTTTTATTAGAAACCAAGTTTTTGTTAAATTCTGTGAATTCAGGAAGTCCAAATGGAGACTCTGTACCTTGCGGATTTTGTTTGTTTGTTTGCTTTTCTTCAAGAAACTGCCAACTTTGTTTTTTTGTCTCATTTTTTTTCATGTTTGCTTTTTATTTATTTTCTTAAATTTTATTGAAGTATAGTTGATTTACACCTTGTGTTATATTTTTTCCCAGAATAGAGTATTTTTCTGTATTTGTACATATATTCTTTTGTGGTGGTTGTTTTCTAATTGCAGCATGTTTGGATAGATACCACGTCTTTGTTTTTTCCCCTCTTGTTCATGCTTTGTAGACACAGCCTTTCCCAGACCTTGGCCTAGACCATCTATCTTTGGTGAATTCTCCTGACTCCCTTCCCTCCTTATCTGAGCATTGTTTGTTTTCCTGGAGCTGCAATTCAAGGCCTGAGTATTGCTTTTTCTCAGTGTTTCTGTAACCTAACAGGAAAGGGAGGGGGCTCAGGCTGTGTGGCCTTGCTTGATGAGTAGGCTGTGCCCTCCTGTGATTTTTACCAAATGTCCTAGACCTTGGTGGGGTCGGGGGTGGGGGTGGTTAACACTCTTCCTAGAAGGTTTCCTGTCCAGCCTTCGGAGAGTCCCTCTGATTAGCAATGGACCTCGGAGCCCTGGCTGCCCTCTGGGAGGGTCAGGCTGGAGTGTTCGTTTCTCCCTAATAACCATGTTTCTCCCGCCCCTGTAGAAGGAGGAAAGGCCATGCCAAATGCTGCTTTTGGCCAGGGCAGGGCTAGGCATGGGCAGTGAAGCACTTGCTACAGGCACGTGATGTAAGGGGCATCACAAAACTCAGTAAAGAGAAATAATATTTAATTCTGTATTTTAAAAATCAAGTTAATGTTAAAAGAAGAAACATGATGAAAACATGAAAATGTTAAAGACAGGAGCAGTCAGAGCAAAGATGAGGGTGAGACAGTGAGGCTGTGCAGGTATGGGGTCGAATCTAAGGTCTTAAACCAGTGGTCTTTAAGTAGTATTTCTTCATGTTTTTTGGGGGGTTTTTTTTTTGCGGTACACGGGCCTTTCACTGTTGTGGCCTGTCCCGTTGCGGAGCACAGGTTCCGGACGCGCAGGCTCAACGGCCATGGCTCAC